TTAAATCAACAGTGGTATAATTTGTAAAATGGGGGTTGATCCGCCGTTATTAGTTTTTAAAAATGAAAATATTGGTATTTATGATTTATAACGAACTAAAAATCTTTTGAAAAAGTAAATAGAGGAGAATAGAACAATAATCTCTTGGGTACTTCGGATAATTTAGAAAGAAACAATTCTATATTTTTTCATAAATAAAAATCATATATCCACAGAGTGTCTCTCAACACTTTTTGAGGGTAAAGCCTTGACGATGACCGATAAACTATCTATTTTGTTACTTGTATGATTGAAAATCCCAACCAACTTCTTTTCAATATATCTACGACAGTCAACTATCAATCCATTATCATAAAAGAAATGAAGAGTTTACAATTGATTAATCAGATCTGAATACTGAAAATAAAATGGCAGATATAAAGAAATGAAATAACTAAAGGAAGGAAGTAGAGATAACAAAAAAAAAAAAAAAACTGTATCGGACTTTCCACTCAGAGCGGTAAGGAAACTATGCACTTCCTCCTATTTCTCCGGCAGCCATTTTGGCGCTACATCCTGTAGAAAAACATGTTTTCCGGCAGTTGTGCAAAAGGGTAAACCGTGCAAAACAAAAAAAAAAAAAAAAAATTGATGTCAGAATCTCAATAGATTCCTCAACATTTTTGATTGTTCACATAAGAAAATAATCATAGACTTCAATAAGATTATTTATTTAAGAGTATTTAAGGAGAAAGACTAATAAAAACCTGCTTACTTAAACTGGTAAATCAATATCTCGTGATAAGAATGCAAGGCGGTTAAGATATGGCACACCAATATGGCACACTATAGTTTGTGAAAATTTTAACTACTTACATTAGATGTGATATCTTTAAAACCATTCGATAAATATGGAAATACCTAACTAATAAATGTTATATTAGACATATCGCTTTTCATTATCCGACTCATTATGTTTTTTTTTCAAAATTAGTCTTTTAAACATTTAGCAGATGATTTTGGAAATCTTGAAATATTTTGTGTTTTAATCATTTCTTCCCTCTATACCTCTTCTCGCACGATGACTGAAGCAATTTAGGATCAAAGAATTAACTCATAGAGGATAAGGACCAATAAAGAACTGATTACAGAAACTAGTCAATCAATATCTCATGATATGAAGGCAACGAAGTTAAGATGAGTGGGGCATGCACAGCTCAGAGTAATCAATCATGAATCCTCTTCACAGAAATGATTGCCTCAATAATAGGCAAAAGACCACATGGGAAGCGAAAAAGTAGATGGATAGATCGAATCCATAAAGATGCAACAGAGCAGCATGTAGAAGGCTGGTTAAGAAATAAAAGATGTAAAAGGTCTATAATGACATCAGAAATAAAATTGAATAATTAAAAAAATAATTATAAAACTAATTAATTTCGATATACTTATAGAAATATGAACCAATGCCATTAACATAACCTAAAAGCAGCGCACACAGTTCTCCGCTCACACAGCAGGAACAGATGCCTCCTATATCTTCCCTATAGGAGGCAGTGGTTATTTATAATTAGATCTCGTTCGGTTCATCTCAATATTGAGCCATTATCTAATCAAGATAAACCTGGTTTAAAATTAAACTACCTGACGGCTAAGTGGTGGATTATGAAAGGGGAAGGAAAGAGGGGGAGAGTTCATGCTTTTCTTAACCAAATGTGTCCGAACATGATGCAAGATATTGAGTGCTTAGCAGAGATACCTCGTAACAAAAAACACTATTTTTAATGTATGTATATATATATTCTTTTGATAACTCATTTGTCAAAATCCACCTCTCCTGAGAGACGGAAAAAGGGTCTTATATTACTGACTTCACGTTAATTTCCGGGGAGATCAGAAGGTTATAGATTAGCTGAAATTGCTCTTACGCAATTGTTAACAATAAGCAGTTGGGGATCCAGGACTTAATTTTGGGGGCAATTACTCTGGAAGAAAAATAAATAAAATTATGTTTAAGTGATCCTTGTTTTAATGTTTTTTTAGATAGTATTTGGAATACAAAGGTAGTAAATAAAAAAGAGAACATAAAGCGATTGTTTGAGTATTTATCTCAGAATACTGACAGAAACAATTATAGACCAATAATAAACATAATTATTTTCGAAGGGAGGGGGGAAGGATTAAGTGAATATTGCTCTGGTTTATGAAATATGCTCAGATCAAGGACCTGCGCCTGCCGATTCAAGTCAAATTTTAAAACAATGATCATTTTGGTCCCGCTGTTAAACGAAATTCTTTTACACAAATATGAAATATAAATAATAGCTCATTATAAAGATGGTGAGATAATGAACATTTCCCTCGCTTACAGTACACAACAGGTCCAATTTTTAGTTTCTGAGATATTTTAATCCATATCTTTAATAAAACTCGTTATCATTTGGTTTTCGACACTATTTTTTTTCCTTTTTGCCTCCCAAACCCGGCGTTGCGTTATGATACAATTTTGAATAATAGCCCATGAAACAGAGAGGATGAAACGCTGACCAATTTCCTCGCTTATAGTATACAGGTTTTTAATTTCTGAGATATTTTAATCCATATGAAAAAACACTTCAAGTAGTCGACTCCAGTCGACTTTACCCGAGCGTTACACATCGGAAGATCTGACGGCTCAATCTACTTCACTCTCAACAAAAAAAGAGCAAAACGTGCCTAAAGTAGTTATCTCTCAAAAATAGTTGGATATGTATGAACTTCTTCAAAAAAATAATATATAATATTTATGAACTGACTATTATTAACTCCGTCAAACTGATACTGAAATTCACCGGATTAGAAGTAACTTGACGGGTTGAAGTCCTTGGTCTAAGCATACGTTAAGGCAATACTCATTTCTATGTCGATACGTCGATAATAATCAGGACTGATAATTACAAAATATACAATAAAACACCAACAAATATATTTAACAGACGTAGTAGAATACACAGGTGACTTTATACAGTGCAATGAGATAAAAATTATATAAGCTGTAATCGCCCCCAATTACTCAAGACCGTTTCGTATTCAATAACTGCATTTCTTCACTTGGAAACGAGAATAGATAACTACTACTCCGCCCGTGGGATATCGTTACAGGACGTGACCGATGGAGGCTACAATCACCGCCGGACAAAAACAAGATGTCACAACAGTCTTCAAGAAACCCTGGAGTGCTGGTGACGAAGGGTCCACTGGAACGTAAGGTGTTATCCAGGGCATTGTCGAAGGAGTTGGTCATGGGTCTGGAGTATGGATATTGCTTTGAACGTGAGAAATTAAAAGTATTGTGTAGCTAGACCTTATTTTAAAAAAAAAAGATTTAATAGTAAAATAAATGTACTATGGGTAAGAGATGGTCAGAACGCAGTTAGTTTTTTAAATTATATAGTCACCACCAGGGCTGAAGAAATTGTAAAATCAGAAATATAATATTTAAACTAGTTCTTATGTCGACTTCCAAACGATAGTTATCATAGCCCTGAGGATGACCCCATGTCTGGGTCGAAACGTCGGCTAACCTAATAAGATATCTTGACTAAAATTACTGTCAAATTTTGTTTCATCCTTATAATTGATCAATCGGCTACTCACCCATCAGAGACTGACTTACAACATGATCCCAAAAGCGAGTCAAACATTATTTCCACCACGAACCCGTACAACCCACCCCGACGACTTTTAAGGCGATGAGCAAGAGAATTACAAACTTAATTCCTGCGTATTGAAGCTTGCCAAATTTATATATTTTTAAATAAATAATAAAATTCATTTACTTATTTTTATTTTATTTTTTGTCTAATTTTATTTTTTTCTATTGGCATTACAAACTATGCAGATATTTTGCCGCCTTAACAAGCCTGCTCCATCTCTGCCTGTCTTGGTCTATTTCTTTCCAGTTATCTACACGCAGTTATTCTATCTATCCCCATCTGAGTTTGGTCTTCCACGTGGTCTTTTGCCTTCTACTGAGGCATTCGTAGTTACTTCCAGGATTCCAGGTGAAACGAGGTATATGCCCTGGCCATCTTGACCTCCGTGCCTTCATATCATAAGATATCGATTGACCAGTTTCTGTAAGCAGTCCTTCATTTGCCGTTCTTCTCCACATGTTAGTACTCTGATCCCAGATCGCTCCGGTTATCGTGCGAAGCATTGTATTGCTAATATTTTTTTAAATCTTTATTATTGGATATTATTTTCTCTTTCCGTAGCCCAGACGAAGGCCTCAATCTTAGGCCAAAACGTAGATACAAGGAGAAGTTTTTTTATTTCTCTTTGACTGCAATTAGTGTTGGCAAAATCGGTCTTGCCAACCGACCAAGACCAGGACTGGTAAAAAAAAATCGATTTTTAAAAATAAAAATAGTTACTAATACTTGACGAAGTATTAACGAATTAACGAAATAGTTACTGATACTTGACAATCTTAGTTACTATATGTTAACAACTCCTCTAATTTTTCATTCGGGCTTAGTTAGGTTTCTCCTATCTAAAAAATTACAGTAATATTTCTATAATAATAAGTAACTGCAAGGCTGTTGCGAGATTCTTGCACAAGACCAAGACTCGTCTCGGTCTCGCATTTGGGCAACACTAACTGCAATCGCTACCAAATTCTCTTAATAAAGCACTTTCCATAATGATTCAGTTATTTTATTAATATGAGGTAACTCAAAGAAATTTTAAACTTAACTGAACTGCAAAATGGTGTATGTATGTGGTGAAGAACCTGCCTAAAGTATATTTTACTTAATTACTTTTAAAATAATTAATGACGTTATAACTTAATGCTTTCTATACCGCGAAAGGAACCCTCTTATTTTATAATCAGTAAAAGTAAAAACAAAAAATAATAATAGCCACAAAAACAGAGAAAGCTGATGTTGGTTCTAAACTGACTGGTTAGGATTTTCAAAAAAGTGTGAGGAGCTGAAACGATTATTATCTCCTTTGTTAGGCCACCATTACAAAAAGATCTATTGTCCATTCCTCGGCGGTGAGAGTTTTCTATAGCTCGCTCCGTTCCCACCTGATTCCGTGTAGTAATTATAGATGTCGACACCAGAGCACGGGGAGGTTCAACAATAAGAAGTCGGAGGATTACACACACGCTAACAATGAATAGATGTGTGTATGTATAGATATATACCATTGCATACCAGGAATTTGAAGTCATTTTTACTTCAGATAGACCGTTTATTAAGGAAGGCGTTATGATTTAGGCTGATTTCATCCATCGATTAAATCCAACAACGTGCTGGATTCCAGAGGAAGGTTATAACACTCGTGGAAAAAAAAAATATGGAAATAACTACTTATTAAATTAATAAGAAAAGTAAATTGAGAGAAATGGGGCACCGTTGGATTCAGAATTTCACGGGGGATTAGCGAATCTTATTCTCCATTTTTGTTTTTCTTTCTAAAATAAATAAAGTCGATACAAATATTTTGCTATGCTTCAATACTGGAACGGTGGTAAGTCTGTAGATCGATACGGGACAAATTGGACTTGAAGATTTTGATGCTTCGGAACTATCGAGTCCTGCGTTTTTAAGCCCAAAAACGTACTATTTTCGAGATAACGCAAGGCATAGGGTTCGCATCCACACAAACTTACGTTAATTGTAGTACTGTCATTGAATACATGTCTCATTTCGTCGACTTGAGGTCTCTATGATCGAGAGAGGAGGAGTTTATATTATTTATCGATGGTGTTTTTGATCGGCAAGCCATATCATCGTTAATTCTTCACCAAATCTCAAGATTGAGCCACCAATTTCGAAGGCTTCCTTCTCCTTCAGGCGGGCAAAATAGTCCAATCACCCCGAAAATTCAGGCAAACAAGTTATGAAAGAAAACAAACTTTATTTGCGAATAACTAAAAAATTATACATTTTCTCTGGGTCATGGCCATGATTATATAAAAGATTACTAAATCCCCTACAAAAGGGGAAAAAAAATCATAGAAATCGCACAATTTTTAGCAAAGATACAGCTTATTGAAATTTGTAAACATATTGGTTCCAAACATTAATGAAGATTTAAATTAATTTTGTTTCCTTTGTTGATTATATTTATCGATAATGTAACAATTGATTTCTTTATCTTTCGACACGTTGCATTATTTATTTTATTTTTATTTTTATTATATAATTCTTTATTTATTTATTTAGATATATAGTATTCTGTCTCGTGGACAATAATTATAGTGATAAATGAGCAAATTCACACCGTATATACAGAAAATACAAAATTGACAAAAGTAAAATAATAATAAACAAAGAACTATGTACAATAAAAAAATAAAATAAACTAAAGGAAATTGTTATTAGTTACTTATTAATTGTGTATTTGATCACTTAACAATATAATGTGCGAATTTTTCGCAGGGGCCTTCTATTCTAGTATGTAATATTTATTAACAGACTATTATGAACTAATATTATGAAGGCTATCAGGATAGGATCCTTTGTGAACTGATGAAGAGTTATATCGTGCAGTTCGCGCATCTTTGACAGAGAAGGATAAAGGATAAAGGATAGCGGAAGAGGACTCAACAGCCCCACTCATTAAATAATAGCCAGCCAGATTGTCACTCCCCAATTCCCGGCTCGTTTCACAATTCAGCTTCAATTCCGACTCGTTCTCTCTCATATTAACAGCTCATTCATAAATCATAGAAACATCAGGTCATCCCGTAAGTAATCTCTCCTTTGCAATTGTGTTTAGATATTTGCATTATTATAGCATTACATTATCTTCAATTTATCGTTTTTTCGCTGCAGAAAGTTAGTTATTTTATACTGAAATTTCAATTAAAATAAATTTCCTAAAAACAACATGCTCCATTTTAAGCTTTGGAAATTTAATATCGAAAACTTGCAGAAATATACAGAGAAAACAGAAGTAAGAGGGCTTCATCTAAAAAAAAAAATTAGGTCTGTTTAATGGGTTTGATGATCTCCCAAAATGGAAAAATATATATATTTTTGATTGGTACATAATTACTTATGTCAATGATATAAGACGCGAGGGCAAAAAATAAAATTATTTAGAAGACGAAATGAATCTTCTATTTCTTATATTATAAATTAGATTTTCCGTTTAATTTTAACAGCATTGGTTAGACAGAGATTTAAGGTTTTAAATAACGTCATAGTTTTGTTCTTTTTGATGTATTTGTTCTTACAGGCTTTTGCGGATATTATCTATTTAATTATAATGCACATGTAACTAATAAGTAACTAGAAAGCGTATATCAAGAAAAATGTAAGAAAATTATTATTTTTTAAAATTTTATTGGATCCTTTCCTTCCTCGCATTTAAAGATTATACGGGGTTTTTCCGGGCCAGAGGATGAGGGCGGAGAATTAAAAATCCGATCCGGCACCGGGACGCGAACTCGTACTTTTTAATCTGTCATAACTTCGGTTATCTGGTTGCCGGACAACTCGCGGTGCTGTGCACTATCGTTAGCCCATATCGCTCTACCACCTTCAAAAACTCTACGATATTTGGGTCTCCACTTGGACAAACGACTGACATGGACATAACCCAGAAGACTGCTGAGGCGCTGGCCAAGAGACTTATTGCCTGAGCTGTTTCCTGCATTATCTTTTTTTTTGTGTGTGTGTGTTATTATGTATATGTTATTATGTGTTATTTCACTAATGTTTCTTTGTTTTGTTATTACTATTCTTTTTTTTTATGCTATCATTCCTGTTCCTTGATATCATATCATATATATCGGTATTCAGCGAGGTAGATGGCAAATTTATTGTGAGCCAGGAATATGTATAACTAATAAATAATTTTTATAAAAATGAAAAGTCACAAATGTGTATATACAGATCCGAACGTCAAAAAAAAAAAAAAATACCTTTTATGTTATAGGCACGACGAACTATACTTACCGTTGGGATAACCCCGGAAGATTCCTCCGAGCGATTACCTAGGATCGCTAGGAAGTTGGCGACGTACCCTGACCTTGGAGTAGATCGGCATACCCTCCGGACGGCAGACACACTGAAGATGGAGTTACTATTTCCCGGAAGGGCATAGAACTGGTTGGATAACGGTATGGCCATCCCCGCGCTACGGTTACTCAATGTCAGATCTTTCCACAGCAGCCCAGCTCAACGAACAGGTCGGGTGTGAGCATTTAGGGGACAAGGCTTCCTCAAACACAAATTGAGGGGGGCACACTTTAGCAATTTCTGGCAGGCTATCCGATGTAGAAAGTACTAAATTCATTGCCTTGCTTCGGCCTAGCTCAAGATATTAGTCAGGAATATATTCTTAAGTATGTGATAGCAGAGTGTGCTGAACCGTAAAACATCAACATTATCGAGTCTAGCGACGCACATATAAACGTAATTCGGAATTTTTTTTAAGAAATGCAAAAAACTGTATTTTCTATTCCAATTGTAATATCAACAACTATATTAAACTTCCAGGCTCATTTTAGGATAAAAAAATATTTGATTTATTAGGGTACGGGGTTTGGAAGGAAAAGATTATGAATGATTAGAAGGGGAATGTTTAAATATTGTACAATAGAATGAATTTATTTTCAATATTGATTCAAATAAAATGGTTAAAACCTATTGATATATATTTTTTTATATGAAAGAAATACACTATATTCCTTTAAAATAAAATAAAAACATAAAACTCATATGAAAAATAAATTTTAAGAATCATATTTCATGTGATAAATAAGCAACTATTTCATATATATATGATTGAAAGTAAAAATATGTATCGTTCGTAAATATATTGGTTTATTATTTTCAATAATCAACCATTGTGATCGACCAAAATATTCAAAAACTTAACCCCCTCTCAAAATGTGAGGTTTCACGTTTCAGGATGCGTAGAATTCGAAAAACGAATAAAAATTTTCTTGTCCGTCCGCCGTCCGCTGTACGCGCAATTTTCTCCGAAAATACTGGACCGATTTTTTCAAATTTTGATATAAAATCAGAGGTCACCCGAGGATGATCATCCTTCATCGACATTACCATCCGCCTTTTACTTTCAAAATGGCGGCCGAAAAACCTGCGTTGCTATAGACTGTAGCTCCTAAACGAATGTACAGATTTCAATGAAACTTCGCTAAAGTTATTTTCTCGACGTCCTTTAAATTTATCTATATAACATACTTCAACTAAAAGAAGCTGAAAAAAAATTTACGAGGGATGGTAAAATTAAATTTCGAATAATTCGAAAAGTTTATACTTTTTTGTTGATATAGTTATGTAGAAATTTCCTAAACAAAATCGTTAAAATCGGACAATTAGGAGCAAAGATACGGTCTTCGTTTTTTTTTCTATGTTCTACATCAAATGTTATATCCTTGGTTTGGTTTTCAAATTTTGAATGTGTTACTGAACTAATGCAATTTTTTTTTAGCATATCACTAATGATTAAAAAAAAAGTTCTGTTCAATAATTGGAATCACCTTTTGTTTTTTTTTTCTTTGTGGCTCGGAAGGTAATGTTACTTTAGAAGTATAATTGTTTGGAAATAATAAACCATTGTGAAATAATTTGCAGCTTTTTTTTATAATATCTGATCCCGATAATTATTCAAATACACAGAAAACAAATGACGATGGAAACATTTTTAAGAGGAGTAGAACAACAGAATACAATAACCAAGATATATCAGACTAAAGTATTCGAAAACAATTAGGTTGTTATCGTCTTAGTCAAACAAAGAATTATCAGAACACATATCGACCCAACGCCATATATATTAATATTTATACAATTATCGATAAATATAAGCTCACTATAAGTTAGTAAAGAAGACATCAGTACCAGTACCTGTCGTGCACCATCTGCTTCCTTCAGCGATGGCGCTCTCCTCACCACCTCCGGTCCTAATACAATTTACAAATGTAAGGCTATAATATGCGGATAATATATTTAGATCGATAATTTATCGAGCCTGGATATTGCGGGTCGATATACATTTCCATACATTAATCGTTCAAGGTCGCCATCGAGTAGGCATCGAAAAAGGTGGGAAATCGATTATCTTGCAACAAGTGGGCATATCCTTTACCCAGCCCCAACGAGAACGAAACTTTACATTTATACAATATTTAAGGCTATTCAAAGAAAAATATTGTTACTCAAATTAATGATTACGTTTTCGGGTTCTCAGGAGCGATGGATTTTTATGAATGAAATAACAAGCGAAAGGGAATTTCATTCAGATACCCAATTTATTTTATTTATTTTTTTATTTCTTAATGACATTTACAACTGTATTACATAAATACATCATGTAAATTTGGACATAATAGATATAATGACATGAATACACTTGCTGAGTAACTATCCAATGGTAGCACTCTAAGTATATGTGTACATTAGGAGATCACGGGGCCATCTTCTTTTCAGACGCCTCGGAGGGTTATCAGGAATTGAAGAGGAAGCAAGGTTAGAAACGAGAGGGTTGGGATGATTCTGAAGTTTATTATGGAAGGATAGGTATCTGGATTAGGCCAGATCTGAAACATAAGGAATATTAAGGTCTTTATGGATAATTTTATTAGTGACAAAGTAAGGAGCATTGAGGATTTTACGAAGGATTTTGGATTGTAAGGATTGGATGCGAGAGGAATTCGATGGTTTAGTGGAGCCCCATAGCTCAACTCCGTAAGTCAAAATAGGTCTTATTGTAGTGATGTATATGAGTCTTTTATAATTAATTGGGAGTTTAGAGCGTTTGTCTAGTAAGTGCTGAAGTAATCGGAAACGTCGAGCGGTTTCTTGTCGTTTCAGTCTAGTATGAGGATTCCAAGTTAGTCGTTTGTCCAGGTGAAGTCCTAGGTATCGGATTTGCTCAACAGGGATAAGTGGAGTATTGTTAAAGGAAACTGTAGGACAGGAAGTCGTTGGTTTACGCCAATTTAATTTAATTTCAAAGAGCAAAAACATTACTCCAACAACAATAAAAGTTTTTAAAAAATGGGGAATTTTAAAAGTCAGATGGTTTCATAAGTTGAAGGATATAGAAGAGAAAAAATAGTCTTCCAACTGTAAAAAATATAGTAAAATTAAATACTGTAATGTAACCAAGATACATACAATTATAAAATAATGAGGTACAAAGACCAATAACAAACCCCAAGAAGCTAACAGGTGTCCAATTGTTAGTTCCATAGTGCAGTAGCTCCAGATAATACTTTTATAAACAATGTTTAAATTATGACAAAGGAGGACAAATGGTGTAGGGTAATATAACAAATTTGTAACAACATCAACATTGACAGAAATCGTAACATATATTCATTGTATAGAGAAAAAAAAAATTGTTTTTTGGTTTAATTGTTATGCAAGGAGGTGATTTGAACGAGATCGCGCTCAACCGCCATATTTTTCCCCATTAATATATTATTTTAATTAAGGGTAACCACTTTATAAAGGCCTAGGGGGCCTACCTATCCAGGATCGCCCCACCGCCAATGTAAGTAATGTAGTTAAGTAACAGTATATTAATACAGTGTTCTTTAAAAAAAAATGTCTTTATTTTTATGATGTTTCGGTTTCACTATTGTCCCATCTTCAGACCGTACCTCTTCATCTAATTTTTTATATTTAATTTTTTATTTTGTACCTCTTTATCCTTCGATCATCTATTTTTTTAAATAAAAAGATTTGTCATAAATTTTATTTTTATAAATCATCCCTTAATTATACTATGGACTCCCCTAGGGAGAGAATAGTCAGACACTGTCCCTAGAGGAGTCCACACTATAATTAAGGGATGATTTATAAAAGTAAAAATTATGACAAATATTTTTTTTTTTTTAAGTAGATGATAGTACGGTACGAAGATGGGATAATAAAGTGGTCCCGAAACGTCATAAAAATGAAGACAATTTTTTTTGGGAGATTAAAACTGTTCGTAACTGTATTAATACACCATATATAAATAAAAATCTCCCTTAGGACTTATGAAAGAATATATTTATTTTAATAAACCTTTTTTCTAGCTATAAACTACTAATGAAAGCCAGATAGGAAGGAGAGTCCTGAAGATAAGAATTGAATCCCGAAACGTTAACTTAAAGTAAAAACAATTACACAAAACAAAGAGAAAAAGTTATCCGTTTTCCACAAAAATCGTAATTATCGCCGAAAACCTCTTAGGTGCTTTGATTGCTATAAGATACTTATCAGAGAGATTTTAAAAATTAATATAGTTACTGTCTTCGAAGAACTAAAAATCAATAAAAACATAAATAAATAATACCTCTTTAATCTCTTGAGCATTTTGGACAATATGGAAGGATTATTTTTAATAAATAAAAATATTTTTAAAAAAAGTTATGATTGGCTGCTAAAGTCTTAATTATCCTAAGCTAAAACGTATAATGGATGGTCGAGCGGGCAAACGTGTTTCCGAAACTTAAGATAACATGATAAAATGATTACGAGTTCACAAGAACTCTGACATTGATTAACCCCGCCTTCTTCCCTGGCTCCGGGGAAAACCGAAAAGGCGAGGAAGATGAAAACAAATAATAACCAACAATATGAGCTAGTGGCTAGCAGCCCATGACGTAACTGAGTCTTCGATTTCTTGACATAGTTCTTAGTTTAACGCTAATCATCTTTGCAGGGGACTCAGAAGTAGGTTTCATATAGGAAGATACGCCATCAAAAGTTTTGAGAGAGGCACATTTTGATCAGGTTTTGAATTTTTGTGGGGGACACATTTCGACGGCGTAATGAATTTAAGACCATAGCACGTGAAGATGTACATCATCTAAGATTTTTGTAATTCCGCTTTTGGTTGCAGAGTTTTTAATAAAAATCAGAGCATTAGAATTTCATGGAAAGGGAGTGGCAGTTCCTGCGCAGTCTAGGGGATGGGCACCCACGTATCTTTGAAAATATGCATGAGAAAAATTGGGTACAGACTGCCCTTTTACATAATAGCATATTTGGATTACCTGTATTACGATAGCTTTTATTCATAAGAGTATTTACATACAAAATTAAATAAGTGAATGGTTAGTGAAGAGGTAGTCGTAACTTTAAAAGTATATTATTATAGATAGAGTACA